TTAAGTTAGAAGGTGATAGAGTAGCATGATCTGATATCAATATTGCAGTTTGGTTCAGTACATTTGATACTATTATGATATTATCAATGGATTGATCATTATCAGTTGAATTCATCACAAGTTCATTTAAACTCATCAACACAGCTATGTTGTTCTCCGCAGTCAATTGAACCTGAATGAAAACAACATTAATAAAATAAAAAGTAATTGACTATTCACTTTTGATATATTTTTGAATCCACTGGATATTGCAGTCAAACATCTTGTTACATTAGGTGATTCCCAGTAGCCATTACTTATACACACTCTACTAACTGTTACTCCATTAGGACCATAAGGACAAGCTACTACTGCCATCATGTTTGAATCAGTCTCAGGCCACACAAATGTACCACGATTACTATCAATAGACTCTCTGGAACAATAACCTAAAAGAATATTGAAAAGTTCATAGTAATAAAATAAATGCATATTTTCATTAATCTGCTTAATGTGACCAGCCCATTCATTCTCTTAAGCCTGGTTTCCATATAATTGTGGCTGTTGCATGGATTCTGTGGTTAGCATATAACTGTTGTAGAGATAGACCTGATTTCTATCTCCACGATTGTTGCAACAGTGTTGTAAGGCTGTTGTATGGCTATATGGAAACCAGGCTTTACTAACTGCAAGCTTTGCTTTCATTGTGTAACCTTCTGCTTAGATTCAATTACTGGGTATGACTGTAACTATACCCGGTAGCCTTTTTGGCAATGGTTCTCATTGTGAGGAAAACAACACAAAGAAGGAGCTGTCATTAACAACTAACTTGATGAAGTCTGCACACTGATTGCACTACTAGCAGGTCCCAGTAATTGTTGATAGGCTCTGACTGTGATGCTATAAGTTGTGTTTGCCATCAATCCATTCAGTGTGACAATATTATTACTACTTCCCTCCACCTGTACTGTCTGCACAGTGTCTGTGTCACTAGTGACATTGACTACATATCCATCAGCATCAGATGAATCAAGTGCAGTCCAACTGACAGTGATAGTGGTAACTGTCTTGTTGACCTCAGTAAGAGAAGAGGGAGCAGTTGCTGGAACTAAATATGTGCATAATCATTATTGACAGA